TTAGTATGTCACTTACCTGGTGAAAACTGTACCGCGACATTAGCTTCAGCCTCCGGGATGAACGTCTCAAAAACGTCTGCCGAGTTAATGGATCATGCAAAAATAAACCATGAATTAAGCTAAACACTACTCAAACTAAAATATTCGACGAAGAACTTAAGGTCAAACCCCACTTATAAGCGAGTGTCAGCATCGTGACGATTCGGAACTCTTCGATATTTTAACCGAATCGTCCGATTGGATATCGTTCTCGGATCGAAGGGAGCCTTCCGAGTTATTCAGAACATTCCGAGTTAGCGTTCTATTCGGATTCGGATACGATATCTTTATCCAACAGCGTTTACGGAGTTAGTTGGTGAAATAGATTATAAGAAAAATGAAAATCCTTTTATATACATTTTTAAGACTTTAAAGGCATAAAATATAGGAATGCATTAGTCTCGCATTAAAATAAATTAATAAAACTTAACAAAATCCAGATTTTATTTAAAATAATAAAAGATTTCTATATTACATTCTTGCTTTGTAAACAATAGGACGTTCGGTAACTTTCGCGTTCGATTCGGGTGTTGTGATTAAAAATGAAAATAAATCTTACGATATCAAATCGAATCGGTCGATAACTGAGTTATCGTAGGGTTCTGAATCGACCCCCTGACTGAATGTGTTTTATTATCACCAGCACTGATGATGCTCTAGTATGCTGATGATATCTCACACATAGAATACGTTTGGAATGAACGCAGCGCGCTTATACGTAGAGTTTAACACTAAAGTATTGTTGCTTGACAAAAATAAATATTTAGATTTTAACAAGTCATGCTCTTAATGTGAAGCTTTAGAATTAAATATATAAAGTTTTAAATCATGCATCCATACCAAAAATGTTATTTACGACAAATAACTAAGTACATAATTGTAAATATGTATAAATGAAATATTTTAAAATATATCAAACCAAAATGGCTGCGGACATTGACTCCCCCTCCCACTTCGCCTAACGTAACCTCGCCTTCGCCCGCTCAGTACCGTCATCACAATAATAATAATGTCATACGAGATATTTTCTAATTTCAAAGTCAGAGAAAACTTTTGAAATTAAAAATGTTGCCAATTTTAAACATTAGCTTGATCCATTTTAATGCTGACTGTACCAACGCTATCGGAGTGTAATTTTATGACAGAGTCACAAATATTTTGTTAAGTTCCGAACATGTAATTGTGAATATTTAATGTGTCAATATGTAATGTGAATTTATTTGGAGTAATAATTATAAATAGTATATAATTGGTTAATAAACCATATGATAATATTCGTAAGGTACGAATTACGATTATACACGATAGACACTACTAAAAACTTGATTCGTCCATTCTTCAAAAAATGGTTCCAAATTATAGTAAATATCCGTCAACGGGAAAATTGTAGACCATATTTTATTAAAAAATATGCTTACTCTCCCTTGCCTTTATATCATGGAAGTCGCATTGTTTATCAGTAAATAACCAACATATTTTGAACTTAATAAAAATTCCCGCCGTCAATATAATCTTACCCTCCCGGAACCCAAATTAGACATATATAAAAAAGGTCCATTGTATACTTCAATTTTAATTTATAACAAAATTCCATTATTTATTAGACAAGAGGATAACATTGACGCATTTAAGAAGAGATTAAATAAATATAACAAACAATACACAACACAAACAATATTAATACAATATCATATATATATTATAATACAAATCATAATATTCGGTAAACGAGTTATGAGTGAAAAATAAAGAAACACACGGAAAGCTCACGTCGTTAGATTAATTTTAAAATAATTAATTAAAATTTTTTATAAACAAGTATTAATGAAGTATAAAGAAAATATTGTTCCAGATATCAGGAAAAGTAAGCTGCAAATAAAAGAAAATTAATCGCGTCCGAGTTACAAGGCTTTAATAGGAATGGTATATTTTTTTATGATACCAACGACGAGAAGAACGAGTCTACACGACCTGGTGGTAAATGACACGTCTATCCACAGTAGCTGCTACTCAGGGCTTTCAATCGCCAAGATCTGAGAGACACTGCCACTGTGACTCTAAGACATAAGTTGACAAATCCCTGTAATTATACTAGTACCCTTCAAAACCGAAACGCAGTAATTCTCACATTACTGATAGGGGGCAGAAATAGGTAAGGTGGCAGCTCTTCCGTGGACGAATTCTTTCACAAAGAGCTCTACTGCTAATAAAATGTCATAAGTAATAAGTAAAGGTTGCCCTGCGTTCGTGGTTTCTTCGCACGGCTGACGACCACCAACAACCACACACCGGCTGCGCCTATTTCATATTAATATTTAATCTCTTCCCATGATGCGTATCGGTGAAGTAATGGACCGTGGCAAGCTTTAAGTAGAGACGTGAGTAGGCAGACGTATATTCCGATACCTCCAATAAACACTATACCAAATTTATTTTTGGTAATTTTCTGTTATTTTTGTAAACCGCCATATTTATTCACTAATGCTATGATCCCCGAATTACTTGAAAAAAAATAAAGAAAAAAAATAAAGTTCTTAGGTTTTCGCGATTGTTACACGTTACGGTACCACCTCAGTCAATCGTGACCATGGGACCTGTAACGGGCCCGAAACGTCGGTTTGTTTGAAAAAACAAATATACGCGATTTAAATCCGGAAAAATAGTTTCATTTCCTAAACAAAAATAAAATTCGAGAATAAACAAAAATAAACTAATTAAAAAAAAATAATCAAAAACAAAATAAAAACAGAAAAGGTCCAAAAATTTAATTGGCATAGTGTTAATTGGAGGCATAGAATAGGTATTGACAAAAACGTGCTCAAGAACGTTTCTAGTGTCTTTTGATGTGTGTATATTTAAATCTAATTACTATATTTTTGATATGAAACTACTACTACTACTACTGTAGAGTAACTAGAAGAAATGTTTGTAAATAGAAATATAATTATTTTGTTTCGTTTACCTTTTACTTTTAATAATTCCTGGATTTTAAAGGGTTGTACTATCTACTCTGTGCAAGTAACTCTATAAGTAATAATAATAATAACGCATCCGACGGCCAATTACATGGTCTCACTATGAGTACCAGAGTAACAAAATTACCCAAACCAGAACCAATTGAGGAATCTCAATTTCTCAAATTGATCCTAACGGGAATCTAACCCAAAATGCTAACCGCTAGACCGTAAAAGTCGGTAGTAATGTGTAATAAACATGTGTGAAATATATATTTGTGTATTTAGGTGTAATAAGTAACATATAAGTAATATATTATGCTAAAATGTTTTAAGCTAAATGTTAAATAAGATACAGTCAGCATCAAAATGATCGAAGCATTTAGAGTATTTTTTTAAAGTGTCTGCAGACCATTATCTGATAAAAGTGTCCTTTAAATTCGTATTGATTTGAATATTTTATTATGATTTTTGATTGCAAAAAAAATTATCAGAAATTTTATTAGTTTGCCATTCAGACTACTTAAAAATCATTTTTTAAATCTATTTCTATATTACCTACCTTAAGTATTACCATAAAGTCTTAATTTAAAAAAATCTAGAAATCTACAGGTCTCACGACACTTATTAGCAATGCAATTGGCTTGGGGGTCAGAAAACACTTTAGAGCCTACGTACATGGCAAATTTTGCGCAGATGACGCACGTTAAGAGCGACGCCACAAGTTGCGTTGCGTCGTCTCAACGCTATGATTTCGACGCACCGAACCTTCCCAGTTTATCACCTGGTTCCTATGGTTTCAACGCTTCATGTGGCATGTATTTCTAATTTATATGTAGCATACGACGCAACGCATCCTGTGGCGTCACTCTAACGCAATTCAAACAAGATTCAGTCGCGGCCAGTAAAATTTGGCACGCGTTCACTAATTTAGTGAACCGACTCTATGGCTCCGTGGCGCGCGTCGTCAGCGCGTAAAAATACGCCGTTTGCATAGTCTCTTATGTCCATGCTATACGCGTGAAAAATTCTCGTTGCGCTTGAGTTTCGGCTCAAGCCAGTTACTTGTTAACAAGTGTGGAGATATTAATTAAAGTGTCAAGGGAAAAATCTGTTAATTCACATTCCATATTCTTTTATTCATGACGTTGTGTCAATAATACCACAATTTTTAGAAATGCTTGGAAGAACAAAAAAAGCCTCAACTGACCGGTCTTTCTTAATTACATAATTCTTCTTATATCAATGGCATTATACTACTAAATAAGAATGATAATGTCACTATTAAAAACCGGCATGTTAATTTTATTTGTAACGCCATTTTGAGTTTGAGATAACGAACTTTATAATGCAAAAACCCTCGGGTACGTTGTTTGCCTAAAACTGGCAGTAAGGCTAATAAGGGTGCCTTCAAATTATAGTCGACTTCAGATAGAACGGGTACATACTGTGACATTTCAAATTGTTACGTTGCATGCATACTATTTTTAACTAATCTCTCAACCAGCTTACAAAAAGAAATAGTAAATTTTTGTTATAATGTACCAAAAACAAACAATATTTGTTGGAGTTGTAATGTGAAGTAAAAATTACAGTATGGAAACAGAAATGAAAAAAAGAAAATACCCCAACTACTTGATGCATAAAACGGATTATTTTTCCATAGAGATATACACCATAGAATCGATATATCGAAACGGCTATTGTGTATCCCGCATACAGTTTGTATGTGGGTCGATTTCCTTTGTTCTAAGTTTTACATAACGGTTTTGGAGTAGTTATTCAAATTTCGTTTCGATGCCGTTGATTTTATGCTTCGTTATTTACTTTTTGTTGATTTTTTATTTGTTGTGCAGTTTTTTTAGTAACAACATAATAATTGAATCGGTATTATTATTTGTTATCCATGCTCTCGTCGTTACAAATTATCTGGCTCGATAATTTTTTTTTCTTTCTAGTTTACGTCACTACATCCCGAGAAATTTCAAATCTCAAACGTCACCGTAACCATGCTATGTGAAATGAACTATAGACGCATATATAAGTGTTGCAGTGGTGCGTCCGTGGCACTGCAGTTGCGTAATTTCCTTTTTTTTATAGTTAACATAAAATTAAAACCTTTCCTTACTAGAGTAAGGAATTTTATTTTTGATCTCGAAGTCCATCGCTCAGTACAGCGAAAGACCAGAGCCTCTACCATGAGATTACAGTAATAATTCTCGCTAGCGACCGCGTAAAATGTTGTACAAAATGCTGTTTCTTCTTGTGAATTCTTGGAATTATGAAGTAATTTACGCGATCGCCAGCGACAACTGGTACAGTAGACGCGTGATGCACGACCTATTGCTTTGAATCGATTTTTTTGAATCATAATGGACCATTGCCTTTATTGGTAGGTCAATGATTGCCTCTGAATCGATCTCTAGATCGGATCGTATACTTTTGAATTGATCTCATAAAAATACTTTCATAATTAGTTTCAATAAAAATATAATTCTGGCAGACTTTTTGACTTCATTTGGTTACGACTTTCATTCAGATGGCAACAAAAAAACAATCTCCAAATATCGTACACTTATTGTTGTACTTAGATGCCAAACTGCTTTTCTTGCAGGCCAATATAAAATAGGGGTTCGGAAAGGGACTGTTTTGTTTAAATTACGAATATGATCTAGACGATTTGATTCGCCTTAATGTTAAATCGATTTACCTAAAAATTGCATTGAAATAAATCGGTACAAAAAATCTCTAGATCGTATACAGTTGAATCGATGTTCATAAAAACCGAATCTTAATATGCATTCCTATGGTACAGGCACCGGAAAGAGTGGAATTTGTACACAATACAACAAGAGTTTATGGACCGTAAGTAAATAAATAAAAAAAGAGCATAAAATCGCAAAACTGTGTTAACAGATTTTTTCCCTGGACCTTTTTACCATAAATCATATAAACTGTAGAACGGAGCACTAAGTATCTAATTTCTAAGTCGACGCTCTACTTAGGGATGGATCGATTAAGCTGAAATTCAAATATACCTCCAACCAACTCTGGGTCGCCGAGATTCACGTAAAACAGCACGTCTTTTTCGTAGCTGTCTTCTTCTATTATGTGGAGGGGGATGAATTTTCTGTAACAAGAGAGAAAGAAGAATTAATACACTTTATAATAAAAGAAAATAAGATACTTAGGTTTAATTATTTTTGGAACTATAGCAGTAGATTAGTTCGTTATGAAAGAATGCGTCCAGGAGCATTACTGTGTTCTGGCTTTGAAGGCTAAGGCTGCTGGTACCCTTCAGATCCTTACTATTTAAATCTCTGAGTGGCATTGCAACGGTTATGGACAGGCGTGTCGCTTAGAACCAGGCGCACGACTTGTTTGTCCCGTTACTTGATACTATACAAAACAAGCCTTATTAACCGAGTTCAAAAATTTCTCAACATTAATTTAATTTTTTTTTACGCGATTCTTGCGGCATTTGTTAACCGATATTGATGATTCTTTTTTTGTTGGAAAGAGGATACCTCAGTATTGGTCTCATTTACATTTGAAGAAAATAATCCATCTCTAAGGGTGGCAAACTAGGGGATGAATCCAGTTTCGCGCACTTTCCGATAACCGACTGTTAACTTTTGAGTTTCAGTTTGTATGCATATATAAGCAAAGTTTGAATCCGGTTCCTTTTTGTGTCACAGGTTTTAAATTTTTATTTAATTTCTTATAAATAAACGGAAATACTCAGAAATGTAAAGGAAAGGAAGCTGCAGTATTTTGCCATGTTATGAGGGATTAATATAGATACCGGATTCTTCAACAAGTAATTCAGGAGGAAATCCAAGGAAAGCGGAGTCGTGGCAGAAGAAAAACCTCGTGGTTGAAGAATCTGAGAGACTGATTCAATCTTAGCACTAGTTTCCTCTTTCATGCAGTAGCTTCAAAAATGAGGATAACCATGATGGTTGCCAACCTTTGCAGAGAAGCGGCCGTAAATGACGTCAAAGTGAATAAATTTTGTATTTCGTATTTTTAAGCGACTTCAAAAAAAGGAGGAGACTCTCGATTCGACACTGTTTTTTTTTTATAACTCCGGTATTTGTGAACCGATTTTGTTTATTGGAAAGAGAGTACCTCGGTATCGGTCATATTTAAATTTGAAGGAAATACTCCACCTCTACGAATGGCAAACTTTTCAGTAACTAATTTCAATCAAAACTTTGCAAAAATATGCGATAACACGAACTTATAATTAAAATAAATTTATTTCTCTGCACAATTTTTGATCACAGGTTTTTTAAGGCACAAAAAATAGATCTTATTTCCTAAACGACAACATTTGTAGGAGACTAGAATCTAAACTAGATCAAGAGATCTGTGTTTTAAACATCCAGAGTTCCTAACTCGAACTTGATTACCATTAATTTTACACCAACTGCGACAGAGATATATACTGGGTTAGATGTAAAATACAAACAACCTCGCAAGACTTTCATTAGATGTTTTGCTGTTTTTCCCACACCACCGAATAGAGCAGCACGGCATTGTTAGATATATATCTTTATTATAATATATACAGGACATTTCTTGGAATATACGGAGACAAACACACAGGTCAATAGTTGGCCTGTCTATATTTCAGTGCAAACGAGAGTTGATATTTATATTTCGTCTCTATTTCTGGTTATATACTCGATGGGTTGAACAATCTAAAACAAAAAGGCACTATCTATGAATCACTATAGTAACACATATTATAGTAAAGCATAGTACGCGTGACAAAGGAAAACCGATCTAATTATCACAGTATTATGTTTATTGCTTATAAATGATGTTAGTTACCAAGTACGTAAACATACTCCCCCTGACCTAGGCGATACGTAATATAGGTTCAATACCCTGTTCCAAGTAGGACGCAGCTCTCCTTAAAAAAAAAGAGAAAGGTGCAACCAAATAGTACTACAGAATAACCCATTTTAACAGAATTATAATTTTAAAGCGCTGTTCCAAATAAGGAATTTATTAGCAGTAGAGCTTCTTGCGAAGGAGCTCGTCAAGGGAAGTACAGCCACCTTACCTACTTCTGCCGCCAAGCAGTAATGTCAGCATTACAGTATTTCGGTTTTGAAGGGTAAGAATGCGGGTGAAAAACAATGCCAATGTCATCTAGCGGTGCGTGATGAACTAGTACAAAGTGCTTTTGTTAGGAAATTTATTTATTATATCGACAACAAAGATTACTCCAAGTCTGCTAATTTTAAATCGTGTCAGTTGTACTTCGAAAGAGTGTCAATGGGAGGATTTTATACGTTTGATATTCTGCTAAAAGTTAAAAGTAGAACCTTGTCAGTGGCTGACCGTCGAACTACTTGTCAACAGCCACTTTTTTTACAAACAAGAATGTGTGTATTATATTGGTTTCATTCAGTAGTATAGTATTGTACTTATTTATCAATGATTCAGTTATTTATTTTAATTTTCAAAACGTATTTTCTCAAAATATCACAACTTTGAGTTACACCAGTATTTGATTTCGTGTCGAGAACATTATCTCGAACACTTAAATTATAAAAGTTGCCATAGAAATCAGACAGAAAACACAAACCTGGGTATTACCCATATGTTTTACCATAACAATAATGCTCACACATCCTTACCGTAATCTAGTATGGAAAATTATCAAGCAAAACATCTCAATATTTATTCAGGACAAAAAGGGTAAACAAAGGAAAGGTCACGCTATATTACTGCAGACATTAACACCAGTTATTGGATCTTACTACCATATTAATACGATTTATACTGGTCTGTTTTGAAGTTTTATTTTTATCTACGATAATGAGATATCAAATATCTCATAAATTTCAGAGCTAGGCTGTTATTGACGTTGTGAACGCCGTTCTGTCCTTTAGAAAGCTTTTCATTTGACCTTCTTGTGCAATATTACAGTGGTAGCCCAGTGGGTAAGCAGTTGGAATTAAACTCTACTGATCATTCGTAAGGTAGATTCCCATGAGAAGAATAAGCAAGAAACTATAGGTAGCTCTTTGTAAATAAACATTTGTAACCATTTATCATTTATACTATTTATTTCAAGAATCGAGAATACTTCAAAGAGCTGAATGGGTCACTTGGACGCACACGGATGACGGATTTTTGTCATCCAAGTTTGTACGCAGATGTTATATAAGCCTTTAGTATAAAGTTTCTGTTTTATCATTATTATACATAGTTTTAAACTTCGTAAATGGAAATTTTGAATATTTGCCCATTGTCCCCTAAATGAATTTGTGAAAACATTGCAGTCCACTTACTTAAACGCAGAGTGACAAATGGTCAAATATCCGTTTTAAATAGCAATAGATTTAGAAAAATTAGTTAATGTGTTCGACTTATCGGTACTTACCCTAACGATGCGTAGCTGAAATATCATAAAACAATTTCAACATTCTAAAACTGGTTTACGGTTAATTATGATATCTCAAAAAAATATTTTCTTAGCCGCTTTCTAATAGCTAGTTTATTTTTATATTACATCTGTCACTACTTTTCATAAAAAAAGATACTATACTTTAAATGATTACATTTCCATAAATGTATCGTTAGTGTAAGAAATTTAATTTTTTCTGACTCAGCCAAGAAAGCAGAGTCGCAGATGTCACCAAACGCGTAACGAACCTTAACCCTTAGAGCCTACTCACGGCATATTTAATAGGCTATCGCGATTCAGTCGCAGCGAGTAAGCCCTTGCACACGTTCTCAAAATTCAGTGGCGCCATAAACGCGCATCATCCGCAGACGCGCTGTGAGCCGCGCGTATGTGCGCATAGGCCTATAATATATAGTCAACTCATGGTAGAGGCACTGCTCTTGCACGCGTCGTGCCGAGGAAACTATTGTAATTAACGTACTCTAGTATTGTAATTTTCCATCATTTACTACGATTTTGGAATAATAACTGACTTAGTAGTTTCAAAAGCTTTTACTTTTCACAGCAATGTGGTTTTAGCCAGTACGTCTCTGATTTTCATCGAAACTATTCGGCATAGAAAGATGAAACTTGTCATTTTCACGACACTCTAGCGCAGGGTTTCTTAACCTTTTTCTAATAATGGACCAATCTCAAAATTTCAAGGAGCTCACAGACACTTTCCGAAAAGATGAACAAGAAGAAAGGTACGCGGGTTGCATTGACGTCGAAGGATGGCCATCAAGGGGCGTGAAAATTCTAAACGGTCACGCGCACAGTACCTATTTATTCACAACATTATTGTATACCTACCAATTTTTATATTAATGTATACTGATGCAGGCTCGCCATGGACCCCCAGCACTTATTAACCCGGACCCATTAGGGGTACATGGACCACAGATTAAGAAACCCTGCTCTAGCGTGTGCGGGATGTCTGAGGTTGCGAGAGTTGATGGTCCCTTGCGCAAGGGCTACGCTCCGTCATTATAGTTAAATGCGCATCAGCCGCCATAAACTCCTGACAGTCATGACAGACAGATGTGACAGTGATCTACTAAGGCACAGGTCCCTTTATATAATGATAAAAACGCGCACACCAATAGCCCCACACTAAGGAAACCCTGTATCGCGGGTGCCATGGAACACATACATAGACAACCACAAATTACACCCAAACTCACGTAATAAATAAATGTAGGCCATACAAATATTTCTTCCGACCCGGGAATCGAACCTGGGACCTCTGCGTGGCTCACCAGCATAGTAACCGTTAGGCTACGAAGACAGTTAAATTTAAACTTGCGTACTAGCATAGTTCCATAAGTTTTGTAATACTAACTAACACTTTAAGATTTATACTTGTCTCAAACAGGTAAATGCACTTAATTTTATTTACTAATAACGGCAGAAATTGCTTGCCTGATTACTGTAATTAAAATTTTAATAAATACAATACGTTTCAAACAAAATATTGAAGCTGTAGTGCCCGAAGTTTCCGAGAGGTGTTCAGTGTTGTACTGGTATTTTTCTTGGCACAAATCATTAATTCAAGTTTCACAATTTAGAAGCAAGTGTAGTGTAGCAGTGACATAATCAAGAAGTATTTACACAGAGAGACGGCGACGTAGCAAACAAATAAACGGAGCAATTTGTAGTTGTGA